CTCAAAAGGTGTAGAAGATATCAAAAATCCTTTATGCATGTTTTATAGCTGAAGGTATTGTGATCATTTGAAAGTTGGAATGAAGTGTCTGGTTGAAATTATGTGGAAGGAGAAGCATTTGGCATAAGGTGTAGGAAAAGAGGATTTGAAGAGTCGTCCCATTTCCATGTTAAAAAAAGCTGAATATTTCAAAAAGTATGAAATCTTTTGAAAAAGTCGAACGATTCCCATCGATTGCTGAAAAGGCTGAATAGTTTAATATTTGAATGGCTTCTGTAGCTTAAAGTAGGCTGAAGTTATGAAGAGCCAAATATTGGCTGAAATAAGGGGAATAAAGAAATTGAAGTACTATAGTGCAAATGTAAACAGCATTTGCAGCAACAACACTGTTACTCTGATTTTACTGACATGTAACATTTTATTTCACCTTGCTCTATGTTTTTTAACGCACATTCAAAACGGGAACATTTTCGGGAGTTTCAAACCGGGTACCGGCCACCGAAAAAAGGGACATTGCCCGGAAAACGGGGACGTTTTGGTCACCCATCCGACTGTGTTTACAGCTAAGCACACACGCTACGATGAATTAAGACTACAAGCTCACTTGGGGTTGAGGATTCTGTACACGTTGCTTGACTGCCACATATCTAATCTAGACATAGCAACGTGTGTTGGGGAAAATAATTATTTAAAGTTATTTAATAATTGTGACATTTATTTTACTTTTCGATGGATGAATGATGCTCAAAGTGAGGGGGCAAAAAGGACAACTGAGGGGGGCAATGCCCCCTTTGGCCCCCACTTGGCGCCGGGCCCGACGTGGCCCTCAGTGAAAAAAGGTTGGACACCCCCCGCTCTATACAGTACATTAAAACGTGGAATAGTAGAAGGAGCTCACCTGCCGTCCAGGTCTTCGATTGTCTTTGATGAACAACCCTCCTTGGTGTTTGCACTGGTTCTTGCACGCTTTAAGAACATTGATGCTCTTGTCTTTGTAAAAGATGTAACATTTACCATCCTCTGGTTTTCCTTGAAATTAGCTCCATCTTTGAGAGACCCCACAGCTTCAGCGTCCAGTGAGAACAAACCCCTTTGCACTTTGAGAGGTCATTTTACCCTAACAATTATCAATTCTATTTTAAGTGGACACTTTCAAAGAACTGCTCCCAGACTGTTTGTTATCGAGGAGCTACAACAGATATGTATTTACCTGAGCAAGTGTTTAAGAGCCTCCTCCTGCTGCCTGTGATGCTGTCTGGGCAGGTCCCTTGGCCCTCTTTTCCCATGGCATGGTTTCTACGGCCTTGGGTATAGCTGCTATCTCTCTTAAGGAGGAGCAGCTTGAGCGCATTGTTGTTGCCAGTCTGTGACCGAGCACAAGCCGCCATGAGGTAGTTTACTCTTCAGGGACGTATGGTTCCCTGACGCACATTATTTTCTTTGTTAGATTCAGGTCCATAATTGTTTAGTCTCACTGATAAAGAATGTTGTTACACTCCGAACTAGTTAAAACCTTGAGCTGCAGAAGAGTTCTTCAGAATTGGTTTTTACTTGAGTAAAAGTAGAAGTACTCAGATCTTGTGCTTGAGTAAAAGTAGAAGTACTCAGATCTTGTACTTGAGTAAAGTAGAAGTACTCAGATCTTGTACTTGAGTAAAGTAGAAGTAATCAGATCTTGTACTTAGTGAAAGTAGAAGTACCAGAGTGTAGGTAAAAGTAAAAGTCCTGCATTCAAAACGTTACTCAAGTAAAAGTAGAAAAGTATTCTCATCAAAATATAGTGAAAGTAGCGACAGTAAAAGTAGTCATTGTACAGATTGGTCCATTTCAGAATAATATATATGATGTGTTTTATAATGATTGATCATGAAAGTGTTCTCAAAGCTGGTGAAGGTGCAGCTAGTTTGAATGGCTTTGTATACTGCAGGGTAGCTTGTGGATTTACTCCAGGTGGAACTAAAGTCTGATTCAACACTTGATTAGATTTCACATCATTCATCCAGATTTGTAAAGTTACTAAATGGATTAAATACATGTAGTGGAGTAAAAGTGCAAAGTAGCATGAACTTGAAATACTAAAGTGAAGAAGAAGTACCTCAAAATTGTACTTAAGTACAGTACTTGAGTAAGTTATCAATATTTAAACAGACATGTAGAGAAACCTCTTCTGCCGACAGGGGGGCAGGAGCGTGCTTTTCATGTTATGTTACTACCAGATAAAACCTCAACCGATGAGGAAGTTGCGGTACGTATTTTCAAAAATAAAAGTCAGATATTTTTGCAAAATATTATATATCATTTTTTCTGAGAAAGAATAATCAGAAGAACTCATCTTCTTTTCTTGTTTTTACTATTCGTCACAACCCACATGTTGATAATTGTAAATTGCCTATATCATTAAATACATATATATAGTTACAGGAGCATTTGATATATTTAAAAACATATAATAAAATAGTCACATTACAATTAGAGTTCAGAGAATTCCCAAGTCAAGCATTTTTTTTACTCTTGGTCACGTGACGTCCTGGGAGAGGGATCCCTCCTCTGTTGCTCTCCCTGAGGTTTCTCCCATGTTCCCTTTAACTGTGGGTTTTCTCCGGAATGTTTCCTTGTACGATGTGAGGGTCTAAGGACAGAGGGTGTCGTATTGTCATATTGATATTCTGTACAAACTGTGAAGTCCACTGAGAGTTTAGAGAATGTTGTTCTCGTGTCTCCCAGTTGACGCTTTTATTCTGAAAGCACCTCCCTCGGATGTCCTGCTCCTGTTTGATTGCAGTGGACCAGAGCCAGCTGTTTTTGAGCAAAACAGCTGAGGTTTTATTTTTCACTCATCGCACTCTTTCATTTCCATTTAACCTCACAGCTTTTTTTATTCCCCCACTCCTTCTCCAGCGTCTTCATCCATTTCTCTAATAGTGTGTGTGTGTGTGTGTTTTTTTTTGTGTGCGTGTGTGTGCACCGAGCATGGTGGTGTCAACATCACAACAAGTCGCCCTGGCTTTCACTGCCGTGCTTTTCACGTTTGTTTGTCCTGCCCAGGATGTTCGGGGTCGGCGGAGGATCCGGGACCAAAGAGACCCGGTTCGACCCCCGGCTCTCCAGAAAAGGTAAGAACAAGGGATCCAGATCTTGTACTTGAGTAAAAGTAGAAGTACTCAGATCTTGTACTTGAGTAAATGTAGAAGTACTCAGTTCTTGTACTTGAGTAAAAGTAGAAGTACCAGAGTGTAGGAGTACTCTGTTACAGTAAAAGTCCTGCATTCAAAATGTTACTCAAGTAAAAGTAGAAAAGTATTATCATCAAAATATAGTTAAAGTAGTGTTTTATTTTGTGCAATCAAACTGCAATGTGCAATAGAAACAGCTGTTTGAGGCAGCTCAGAGAAGCAGGTATTTTATTGTGAAAAGCCTTTTTTGAATTAGCCTAACAATGTATAATATCATCCTAGTCATCTACTGACAGGATGTGCGGTTTAATGCTAATTCTTTGTAATTGCTTTTTCTAGCAGCTCGTTCTACCTTTAGGCATTTTGTTTTATCTTACCCTCATTACCTCTGCCCGCCCTACCACCTGTCCTCTGGACCCTATCCCCTCAAACCTCCTTCATACTATCGCTCCTGATATTCTACCGTTTCTCACCCATTTCATCAACACTTCTCTAACTTCTGGTCACTTTCCAAACAGTCTCAAGGAGGCAAGAGTAAACCCTCTCCTAAAGACACCAACTCTCAACCCGTCTGATGTTATAAACTACAGGCCTGCCTCTCTACTCCCGTTCCTGTCTAAATCACTTGAACGCGCTGTCTTTAGACAACTCTCCTGCTATCTCCATCAGAACAACCTTCTGGATCCGCACCAGTCTGGTTTCAAGGCAGGTCACTCCACAGAAACTGCCCTCCTTGCTGTCACGGAGGAACTGCACACTGCCAAAACTGCATCCCTCTCCTCTGTCATCATCCTGTTGGACCTGTCTGCTGCATTCGACACGGTGAATCATCAGATCCTCCTTCGCGCTCTCCAAGAACTTGGAGTTTCAGACTCTGCACTTTCCCTCCTCACCTCATACCTGAAAGACCGTACCTACAGGGTGACTTGGAGAGGGTCTGAGTCCAACCCTTGTCAATTAACTACGGGGGTCCCTCAGGACTCTGTCCTTGGTCCCCTCCTCTTCTCCCTGTACACAAACTCGCTCGGATCAGTCATTAGCCCGCATGGTTTTTCTTACCACTGCTACGCTGACGACACCCAATTAATTCTGTCCTTTCCCCGCTCAGAGACCCAGGTCGTTGCACGCATCTCTGCTTGTCTAGCTGACATCTCTCAGTGGATGTCTGCTCACCACCTCAAGCTCAACCTTGATAAGACTGAACTGCTTTTCCTTCCGGCAAAAGATTGTCCCACTCTTGACCTGACAATCAACATCGGCACCTCTGTTGTTTCCCCGACTCAGACTGCAAGGAATCTGGGTGTGACCCTAGATAACAACCTGTCCTTCACTGCAAACATCGCTGCTACCAACCCGTTGCTGCAGATACACGCTTTACAACATCAGGAAGCTACGTCCCCAGCTGACCCCAGAAAGCGACGCAGGTTCTGGTCCAGGCTCTCGTCATCTCACGCCTAGACTACTGCAACTCCCTCCTGGCTGGTCTACCTGCATGTGCCATCCGACCTCTGCAGCTCACCCAGAATGCAGCGGCTCGTCTGGTCTTCAACCTTCCTAAATTCTCCCACACCACGCCCCTCCCTCCGCTCCCTTCACTGGCTTCCAGTAACTGCTAGAATCCACTTCAAGACACTGGTACTTGCTTACCATGCTGCGAATGGATCTGGCCCTTCCTACATCCAGGACATGGTTAAACTGTACACCCCAGCACGTGCACTACGCTCTGCATCAGCCAAACAGCTCGCTGCACCCGCACTGCGAGGGGGACCCAAGCTCCCATCAGCTAAAACACGTGGGTTTGCTATCCTGGCTCCAAGATGGTGGAATGAGCTCCTCATTGACATCAGGACAGCAGATAGCTTACACACCTTCCGGCGCAAACTGAAAACTCATCTCTTTCGACTCCACTTCGAGCGATAGAACGACTAACAAAATTACTTGTAATAAAGGACTGGCTTACCTAAAGCCAGTTGAGTAGCACTTGAAATATTTTAGCTCTATGAAACCTGATGTACTTATATGATTCTGTTTTTCTTCAAGGTTGTATTTTGTTGGTCGAAACGCACTTATTGTAAGTCGCTTTGGATAAAAGCGTCAGCTAAATGCAATGTATCTTATCGTCCCCGGCTTGAGCTTGAACTCAGGATCCATGTATCTGTGATGCTCTCCAGAATGGAAGTAGTCATCACATACAGAGCATCAACTAGTTCCTGAGCAGTGTCCTTCACATGCTGATATCCAAGAGAGGGAGTTACACAGTCACAAGATGGAGGAATAGAAAGCAGTATTCAATGTTTACTTCAGATTAGCTCCACGTCAGAAATGAGCATGCTTGATGTCTCTCTCCATAGAGGCTGAATCATCATGTTAATCACATAGCTATCATATGCCTCAAACAGTCCTGATGCTCTTCTAGGTAATCACACATCCTGTCATGTTCACAGCTACAGTTGGGATGCCTTTGTTATCATGTGGACTCTCAGATTGGAAGAGGACATTCAGTATTTTCCCAACAAATAAAAAGCATATCTTCCACCCATTGTAATCAGAATCCTCTCCCTTTGTTCCCCCTCATGTTGTTCTGGTATCAGCTGGTCCGGGTCCAGGTGCAGTGAGAGATCAGCCGATGAACCTGAACGCACCGGGTTCCCCTCAGAGCCCGGAGAACATGCAGCAGATGAAGAAGCTGATGGAGCAAGAGATGAAGAGCGACAACAAGTTCAAATCCAACAGCAACAAGGGCTACGTGTTCACGCTGATGCCTCTCTACGCCATCGGGCTCGGAGTGTTTGCAGCCTATAAATTCTTAAAGGTGAGTAAGTCCAGCTCATGGGGACTGTGGGAACACGGAGATGTTGAGTACCACAACGTTTTATGTTAGAAAT